ATTTACTAAACAATTCAACTATAAGAGTAGGTTCTTCCATTGTAACTGAACTGATATTGATTTCTCCCCTAAATTCTCTCACTCTCTTTCTCCCTCTAATTCTTCTACTTCTCTTCTCTATTTCTCTTCTGGTATCTTCTTGAAGAGTTTTTTCTTGTATTTTCATGATGGAGATCTAACTAGATATTCTCTTGAGGACTTAACAAGATTATATAAGTATTTTAGGAAGACAAGTTATCATTTATTTTAAGGTATTTTCTTGATTTTATTTTATTTCCTTTACATATTATTAAGTTAAATTTGGAAATATTCCCTTTGATAGTTTGGTAGCTTTACTAATTTACTAGAGATTTCAACTATAAGAGTAGGTTTTTCCATTGTAAACAGACTTTATTATTGATTGAAGTGATATAAATATATAAAAATAAGTGGTGGATAAGTGGATAGTACCGGTGGATCCTTCGAAATGTCTGATTGAAAATGAAGTTGACTATTTACAAATTGATTTATAAAGTTTGCCAAAGGGAGGCATAGTTTTCTCCCATCTTTCTAGTTTCTACCTCTAATTCTTCTATTTCTCTTCTGCCCACTTCTCTATATTATGTTGTCCTTCTTGTTGTGTGCATCTCTTAATTACACTTGTCTTATTATGTCATTTTACTTTTTTCTACAATTGTAACACCTCGAAGTAAAGCTGGCTTTTTTCCTTCTTGCTTTTTTCTACGTAAAGTACATTGATGGTATTCATCACAGTCAACCAGAGCACAGAGGTATCTACAATTATGATTTTCCTATGTAAAAGTACCCACGCACCAATTGAAAATAATCACGCGCGTTCTCACTCACAAATATATAAATGAATATATTTCCCCAAATGACTAGAAATGTGTCTACAGTCTAAATTTGCAGAATATTATGGTACAGGTTCTTAAAGTTGATCTATTTAAGACTATTTTGAAAAATAAAAGGTGCAAAATGGAAATGTAAGGTTGAATTTTCCCTTAATGGCCTATAAATCTTAAGCTAGAATATTTTAGTCTTCAGGAATTCCTTGCCTTCAACCACATGATTCTCAGAAATGTTAAGTAGGATCTTGATATTAAACCTTTTATCAGTGAGCATCAAAAAGCTTGCAAGAAGACACATGGTCAAAACATTTATAACCAGCCTTAACAGTACAAATGTACAATAGTAGGATGTAAAATGAAGCTTCTAAAGTTGGATCATAAGTTTTTTGCTCTGCAAGAGTTTTCAACAAATGAGATTCTTGTTAGAAACACAAAATATAGGCATAAATACAGGCACGATAAATTAGTCTGTAACAAATAGATCCAAAAACATAAGAAAACCAACATCAACTGAAGCCAAGAACAACATGGAATGTAATCCACATTCAGAAAAGATAAACATAAGTAGTGGAATCACTCAGCATGCACAATACTGAGATCTTCAGATTTTTTCGTCATCAGTTCAAGGAGGATTCCTTGCTTTGAAACTAAAGATTGGAACCACCCTAAATTGCATTTTTCTATATCATGTCACAGCAGAAATTTTGCCCAGTGCTCAGGGTCAGTCTCTGAATTCACTTTTATAGAATCAAAAATGTTCTTGTTCAAGCTTACACTGATATTCTTAACAATTATAACCACTTGAGCATCCTTTCCTTAAAAGTTGGTTTAAAGGCTAGCGCTCCTAATGTGGTTGTACAATTAGTATCGGTGCAGGAACCCTTCTAGGTATGACCCTTATTGTGAACCGAACAACTTGGGTTTCACTACCTCCAGTAGAAGATCAGTTTGCAAAGTCAACTAGATGGCAATATTGGGCACCCACGGACATCCTGATAGGAGTGAATTGTAATGACCCTAATAGCGTCCAAAATTGCAATATCAAGACTTGATTTGTGGGCTTATAACCACTAGGAAACCCTCTCATTGCAAGCAGATTTAAAAATTCTACCTAGGCTTTTCAAGTGAGTTCTACACAATGTGGTTGTAAAATAATCTTGCAAGAACCAAAAATGACAAACACTCTTTTCATAAAACATCCTCACTAAAACTATGTCAGATCAACTTCATAGTTGACAGAAAGCACAATGACCACAGTGAAATATAACATGCAAGCAACTACTTCCTACATAGAATTTGTCCATAAATCAAGTTCAGGGTAGATACTTTGGAAAAGTTATAATGTGAAACAAAGAAAATAAGTTAATGATCTTCTGAGTGAGAATCAAATGTAACCTCTTTTCAATGAAAGCATGAAAGAGGTTTTAGGACATACCAACTACACCAAGGGAAAATGAAAAAAGTAAAGTAAAAAGGTACATACCACATGCCAGTCTTCCACCAGCGTTGCCGGTGCTTAGACTAAGTTCATGACCACCTGCACATGAAAAACCAAAGGGATTTAGGGAGAAAGACAAATAATCTGAATACTTCAAGTGAAGAATTGAGTGTCATTCATTATCCTTTATAAAGTAAGATTGCGAAATTTTACCCTTTCCAAGGTCATCCTCAAGCTCATGAACCACAAAAGCTCTTCCAACAACAGAATCAGGACCACTCAATGGTATCTGCAAAATTTAACCACGGATATGTCATTAAGAATTGTAAATCCTTTGATGGACTATAGTTATGATGAGACAAGCATATGCGCTAGCGGAAATATATGCTTCGGGTAGAGAGAAGAACCTGACTGTCCACTATTGTAGCCTCAGCCACACCTGCATCAACGATTCAAGAAGCAATAATAAAAATATTATGACTACCAATTTAAGTGAATAATCAACTATTAAAATTGTATAAAGAAATTACCTTTGGCGTCAGCAACTATGTTTCCCAGGTCACCCGCATGGCGAACTTCATCCTCAGGAGCTCCATGTGTCAAACCATTTGGATTAAAATGTGGTCCTATTAATCACACCAACATTAATAATCTAAAGAAAAATGCCATTGACTAATTCTGTTGAACAAATATCTAATCTCAAAAATGAAATCGAATCTAAACCTGTTGAGATACAACCATTTGTTGTGTCGCCGAACTCATGCTACAAAACCCAAAGAAAACGCTAATAACATTCGCATTTTCAAATTTAGTTATCATTTTCCCTCATTGTAGGAACAAGAAAACTCAAGTCTTCAGAATTTCAAGAATTAATAAGACTCATAATACTCACTAGATGAAACCCATGTTTGCCCGGAGTAAGTCCAGTAACACGAACGTTCACAGTAGTCGGACCTAAAAATCGAGATATACACAAAAAAAAAAACATAATTTCAGAGTACAAATACATATCATAATCCTAAAAA